CCTTTGCGCGGGTGGGGCCCGCCCGCCGGGAGCGCCTGGAGTGGCAGAGGCGCAGCCAGAGCGCGGCCGAGATCAGGATCCGAGACGTGGAGCGGGCCAGGGCCGCCGCCGACCGACGCAACTCCACACTGCAGGCGGACATGGAGCTGATTTTCCGGACATACAGAAAGATCCAAATGCGGGAACGGAGGCCTAAGAATGTTGATCGAGGCGGAAGGCGGGAACGCATCTTGAAGAGTCTTTGAGGATGGAGGGAAAGATGAAGAATTAGTCATGTGGATGCGGGACAAGGATGTCAAATCCAGTTCCAGAAAGTAAAAAGCTTTCGCCACGAGTGCTTCTGCTCAAGCGGCAGTTAAGGGCCCGTTTACCTGTCGGCTGTGTGAAAGCCAAACCGTGGCAGGCTTTTTACTTTCTGGATCTGGATTTGACATCTCTGATGACCCCATTCCTACTTTTATATGCAAAACAGTACACTGCAAGTCTGTGTTCATTTGCATGAATGAACTTTTACAATAAAAGTCCCTCGATCTGTGCTTTTTGTTGAATTAATCGACAAAATACTGACTGGGAATTTATCCTGGGCATCAAGATCAAAAGCACAAGACACCCTACTTTTTGTGAGTTGCGCTTTTAAAACTCACAGGGCACCTCCTTCACGATGACCAAAACCGACCTCGCGCGTGTATTTTCACAGGAAAGACAAAGTACGTTTTTTTTGTGGTGATGAAAATGTTGACATTTATTCTCAAATCCAGCCAAAAATAATCATGTGCAGACACTAGAAACCACAACAAACAAAAAGGACATATTTTGAGACATACTTCAGTCCATTTAGAGGAGGGGTGGGCAACATACGGCACATGGGTCATACAGCATATATACAGGCTGCAAGGGCATTTTTTTTCTGGGCCAGAAAAGTTAAGATGGTGGCGGGGGGAGAGCAAAGTAGTACCAATTTTCTGCAATACTTGCTTCTGATCGCGGCTCATTTGGTCACTGTGCATAATGTTACAGTGGCTTAACCGCCTCCTGTCTTTTTTTTTTTTTTTTTTTTTAAATCAAGGACAGTCCATTTGATTAGTACACATTGCATTTGTATCTTTTAGAACTGCTTGCTTTCAAACATTTATTTTGGTACAATTTTATGTACATTTTACATGCAGTATCAGTTGGTGAAACCGGTGTCGGCGGTTATCTTTTTTATCTCTCTCTCAAAATTCCCAAGGAGTGTTACATGTTTTTTTCCCCAGTAAGGACCGTGGAGAACTCTGCCAACCTTTAGACGTGAACAAAAAGTCATATTCACAGATGCTGTTATTTTTTTCTTTTCAAGGGAAAGGAACGCCACGCCAAAGTAACAGTGACACCACTTGGTGCACTTACTGAAAATAAAAGTGCAAGAACTAAAACAACAAAAAAGTGCAACTACAACAGAAAAAAGAGAGAATACAAGCTTCACATATGAGAACCATTGCAATAACAGCTGCAATTAAGCCGTGTTGCTTCTTTTTTGACAATTTGAAAAACAAACTAAACGTACTTCTATCATGTACTGACTACACTAGTCATGAAACCATCTAAACAATAGAGAGGCAAGGAAGACAAAAAAAAAAAAAGTAGAAAAGTGAACCATTTCAACACAAGTGGGTCAGGCATTGTCCCGAGACCACAATTTTGTTACTTCAGTATACTTCATGAACATCTTCCGGATTAATTAAGCAGATCATGATGGTTGGTATAAAGTGCAATTACAGGACGGGCTTCTTCAATCATTTTGAAAGGATCATGGCAAGATTATTCGGAAATCACTTTTTCACGAGTGACAATTTGCACAGGTTTAAATAGATCCCGCTGCATATATTTCGGTATAGCGGAGCTAAGCGAACTTCCTGTGCACAAAAGTAGGATTGAAAAAAAATTGGATTTTCATCATATTCACTTTACCGTATTATTTATAATTAATTGAATTATAATTAACCAAGCACTTGAAAAAAAATGACCATTGAACTGTTTGACAGATGCTTGCAACTCTAAAACACCATGAGGGGACAGCATCACTGTACCAACGCCTCCTTGTTTCCTGTTTTGAAGAATAGTTGTCCTGCATTTTGCTTTTAACTCCTCTGTGCTGTGAGGAATATTTAAAAAGCTACAAAAAAAAAATCGTTTGAGTCAATCACTGATGATGCTGTGAATTGGGATTTCCACTCTACATCGAAGCTGCCATTTTGAGATGGAACGTAGCGGACTGAAAGCTGCTAAAAGGCAAACCGTGACCTCGTCAGAGTGGCAGGCAATCGGGCAACATGACGGGCGCTGTCATCTAGAAGCCGGAGGGCGTCAAGATGTTCATGTCGCGCGGTTTGAGCTTGTGCGGGCGAGCGCCCTGCCGCCGCCCGTCCACCGTTGGGATCTCCATCTTGGGCGGGGCGGCTGCCCCCCGGGCGGCGG